AGTTTGTCAACTATTTATACCACAATGAATGATGGCAAAACACTAAACGCTGTTGTATCAAATATGCTTAAAAAAAAAATTTCATCTCAGTCCTGCCATGTATGCCTTGCAAATTCTAAGGAGTTTAACTTGAAAACTATTTCGAAAAAAAATATTAATTTAAACAAGCATGTTTTGAAACTTGGAATTTGCAGTCTTCATCTATGGATGCGCTGTATGGAGTGGATTTTCAATACTGCTTGTAAACTCCCAGCTGTTAAGCAAGGAAGAAATATTCCATCACAAAAGAGTAAAAAATTTATTGAAAACAAAAAAAAATTCCAGCATTTATTCAAGATACAACTGAATATAAGGGTTTCTTTTGTCAGGAAAGGATGTGGAACAACCAATACTGGAAATGTTGCTCGCAAATTTTTTAATAACTTGATTGTGACAGGGAAAATTTTAAACTTGGATATCAGAATGATTAAGTTGTTTCGAGGTTTACTCATTGATATAAACGGAACAACTACAAGACCGGATATAAAGGTTTTCAAACAGAAATCTGAACATCTATTTGCACTCATAATTAATGATAAATTTTTAAAAACCATACCTATGTCACAATCTGTGCATAGAGTGATAGTTCATGGTACTTCTTTTATAAGGTATTTTAAGTATCCGATAGGTTCTTTGTCTGAGAGTGCTATTGAAGCTAGAAATAAGGAAAACAAAACTGCTCGAATTGGTCATGCTCGTTTATCCTCTTTTGCAGAAAACACTAGGGATACAGATAATTATTTGTTTATGATATCTGATATGTACCTCTTTTGCAAAAAAAAACAAAATGGATAAAAAAAGAGTGAAAACAAAATAGTTTAAGAAAGCAAAGTGACAGTTCTTCTGATAACTGCTTAAAATAAAGATAAAATAGTTTTATTATTAATATTGTTAATAGTTTTGATTGATTTTTTTTTGGTTAGGCAATCTCATAATTTTGGTTAATTAACAATTCAAAGTTGCGTTTTTTGTTGTTGTTTTTTTTATGTTTTTTAAAATAAATTTAAGAAACAATTTAATCAATTTTAACAAGCAATTAACTATTTTAGGAAGTAAGACCATGAAGAATCATACTGGTGAGCTGTTCTGCGTTGAATTTTTAAAAAACGGCTATTTTCATAGCCACAAGTTATTAAAAATATCTATTAGAATAGAACGTTGAGAAACTGTGAAAGAATGCACAGAGCCAAGTATCGTATGATAGCAGAGTTGTTTATTATATTCAATGATATTGTTTATTTTGAAATAGTGTTCATATACATAGTTTGTAAAATTCTATAAAATATAGACGCCTACTTTTTTTTGAATAAAATCATCCGGACTTGTGTAGTTTTCCGGACAAATCTAGAATTAGTCCGGACTAACCGAAAAAAAATACAATAAATTGTTTTTTTATGAAAACCGAATACGATTCTTTTAAATATAGAAATATAAATAAAAATTTGATGTCTTGTGAAAAAATAAGTTAAATATTTTAAGTCCTTCTTTATTTATATGCCTATTTCCTCATTTTGTATAAGAGCAACGCATAGTGCGTTGATTCGACGAAAACGCGTGGTCAAAAAAATTGTCCAACGCTTCCGACGTTGGCCCAACGAATGCGTGCTAGTTGGGAGGGTACATGAAGACTTATTTCAAGTTAGTCTTACTGTACAAGCATTTTTTGAGAATTCCATGTTGAACAGGAATCCACCAAGCATTTTGCTGTACTGCATTGTTTGATATCGGATTGCAGCCATTTTTCAAAATGGCCGTTAAAATGAAAATTTTTTCTTGGACCCCTACATCATGATTCGGATTAGACCTTGTGAAATGTCCTTACAATGGTTTTCCGGGTCAAGGAATTCGAATTTCAATGTAAAATTGACGTATTAACAATGATTTTTTTTTTATATTCGAAATTAATGCTACATTTTACAATTCTAAGATACCACAAAAGTTTAGTGATTTATGTGTAACTTGAGTCGCAGTGATTCAGAGATTTATGTGTAACTCGCACTTGTCATCACTACATTTTTTCTAGATAACGTAGTGTAGGTCGTGGAGCCACCACATATTTTTACTCGGTTGTCAAATTTTGCGAATTCTGATTCATACCCTAAACTGGTGGGAAGTCCAAGTTTCAAATTTTCGTCACTAGGAAACTATAGCTGGTATTCAGATCCAACTGTTAGCTATAAAAAATTTGGCTGTCGTCAAAAATTGTGTCAAAGGGGGTGTAAATCTGGAAGACAAGCTGCATACCGCAAATCACCTGAGCAGAAAATGCCAGCTCAGTTTTTGAAGGAGTTTCTTGACATAGAAGAGGTAGGTGTATCTAGATCCTCTGAAATAGTCACATGTCAGCACTGATTTGTTTCTTGATATTGGTGTTGTAACTGTTTGGAACAAGAAGCTGCTAATGATAGCTAGTTAATTACTTTTTGTTGCTGTTTGTAAATTCTGTTACATTTTGTTACATTCCCATAATTTGTTTGTTATAGTATGCAAAATAGGTTGACTGGAGTGCTCCCCTCCCCAGCACCCCTTCAACTTAAGAGGTTAATCAAAATACACTGTTGATTGTTATATTTTTATAACTTATTATAAATAAATAAAAATCAGAGCTCCATCTTCATCAAAATTCTTCGCTAGAAAAATCTGGATTTCATTGATTGATTGCATCTAGTAAAAAGTGTTCAAAATGGTTACAGGGCTAGCGCAAAGTCTGAAAGGTACCTATCTTCCAGACAAAAAAAATGAGACCGCATATGCAAAACTTTTGCTCGTGTTTTTACAATTTTTGACAAGTCATGCAAGTACTTTTTTTGTATTTCATAAAATCCATTGTTTGATTTGTCAGATGCATATATATTCATCAAAAAATCTTTGTGTTCATTGTTATTTCTGATTTATCTAATATTGTTAATTTAAAAAATGAAGTCGTCAGCGTTGACGCTTGACTATCTTTTTAAAGCGGGTCATAAAGACCTAAAGTCTTTGATGAAATTAACTTGGATACCTAAGGCAAAAGTTGCAAGATATTTAAAGAAAATGAGTGAAGGAATGAGCTTGGAGAAAAAGAAAGGAAGTGGTAGACCTAGAAAACTTAATTTAAAAGACCAACAACAATCGATTTAATTAGTTCGAAACGACGACACACAATCTGCCCAAGATATTCAAAATGAATTAATCAAAAAAGGCAGTCCTAAGGTTGCTTCCAGAACCATTACTCGTTATCTTAACCAAAGTAGGTACTTTAGTTTTGTTCCCAAAAATTAACCCCCATTGACTCCTGTTCAACACGAAAATAGAGTAAAATGGTGTGAAGAACACCTAAGAACAAGATGGAATCAATGAGTATTTAGTGACTAGAGTCGTTTTGAGTTATTTCGAAATCGAGAAGATTGATAAGCAAAGAAACGACCGAGAATTGGCAAACCAAAGATCAATAAAGTGTCATGGTTTGGGGGCGATTAGTTCTAAAGGTAAATTGTCATTGCTTATAATAAAGGGTACTGTGAATGGTGAAAAATACAAAGAAATGCTTTCTGAAGCTGAGCCAACTATAAAAAATTTTTTCTTATGGAGTTTTACATTTTAACAGGATGGGGCGACGTACCACACTTCAAAATCAGTTTCTGAGTGGTTTAAAGAACATAAATGGAAAGTTTCTTCTTGGCCCGCTAATTCACCGGATCTAAACCCGATTCCAAATGTGTGGGGGTTAATGAAAAAAGCAGTGGAAAAAAAAAAATTAAATGATTTAGAGGTTACAATTCAAGAAGTATGGAACGGACTTTCCTCGGATTATTTGAAGTCATTAATTGACAGTATGAACATTCGTGTTCAAAAATGCATAGAAGTCCAAGGACACGTGACCGTATATTGATCAATATATTATTTTAAAAATTAAGCTTTACTCTTTATTTTCTATTAAACAGTTTTGTTATTTATTTATTATTTTGAAAATAAAACTTAAAAAACTTAGTTTTATTTATTTTTGTCCTGAAGGTACAATGATAGTTTTTGGTTTATGTCTTTTAATAATATAGATATTTATTTGTTAAAATAGTATACAGTTGTTTCTTCTTCCCCGGTATGTTTCTTTTTCCCCGGTATCATTTTATATACCTATTTGTTAGTTAAAAATTTAACTAACAAATACGCATATATAAATGCCTAAATAAGCAATTGCGGACTAAAATAAAGAGTTAAAAGACTTTTTTTAAATTATTTTTTTTTACCTCACACAAGCCACATCAGGTTTTCAAAAACAATTTTTTTAAGTTGTTTAATATATTAAGCAACTTAAAGTTTTTTTTTTGAAAACCTGATGTGAGGCCAATGTGAATAAAAAAAAAATAATTAAAAAAAAGTCTTGTAATTCTTTATTATAGTTCGCAATTGCTTATTTAGACATTTATATATACGAATTTGTTAGTTAAAATTTTAAAATAGACATAAAATGATTAAAAACATTACCATAGTTTAAGCAACTATAGGCTTCCCTTTCTTTTCAATAAGGCATTTGCCCTTCATTAAATTGCCGTAAAAACTTACGTCTAATAACATAGCATTCTAAAAAAATTTCCTGGGGTCACACCTTAGTGTTTGGGGGCCTACTCATCCACATGGGCCGCACCAAGGTAAATCCGGCTCTGGTCATATATAATTTTTTTAAAAAAATTTTTGTATCTAACCCTTTGACTAATAATAACAATAGACGAGATCAAAATCAAGAAGTCCAATAATATTTTGAAAAAGGAAAAAAATTAACAAGTAACTAAAAACATTCGTTTTTTATTTAACTCGATTTGTTTTGATTTAACGTATGTTAAACTTGATACTTGTTTTATAGGATCCAAAAGAGTTTTTTAATTAGGGTTATACGCAAGTGGCTACTTTTAATTAGGGTTATATGCAAGTGGCTACTTTTAATTAGGGTTATACGCAAGTGGCTACTTTTAACAAAACAAACATTTATAACTTATTTTTAAAAAAGTTTAAAAATCAACTTATTACAAAACAGTATTGTTTGTTTACATAGTTTTACCTATTTTCTATAAAATTACAAAACTTTTGTGTAAAAAAACGCGTTTTAGCGTGATCACAGCTTGAAACGAGATCACTGTTTGAAAATCTATTAATGTCTTGTATATGAGTAGGTGGTTCCGTTGAAACACTTAAACGATTCAAGTTTGGAAAATCAAACTCCGAAATAAAAGTCTTCGGTAGAAACTTCAAACAAATCTTCATAAGTATTCTACACATTCTGTAAGAATGCTGTAGAAAATGACAAGGTGTCACGATAAAATCAAAAATTTATCATTAACACGGATTAACACGAAGTTTCTCTTTGATTTCATCATCAGTTGCGTATGAAAAAGGGAATTGTTCATGAAAATCTTTCAAAACACAATTAGCACCAAGAGCCAACAAGACAGCACATGCTTCTTTATCATTAGCACTTGCAGCTAAGTGCAATGGAGTAACATCACAATTATTTAAACTGTTCACATCAATGTTGCATTTTTTCACCAAACTATTTATAACATGCATCCTTTCATTTATTTTACATAAAGCAATTACTTCATGTAACGCAGTGTTACCATTTTTCCCATCCTAAAACAAAAATAACTTTATTTCATATTTATAAATACGAATGCTCACAGAAAAAAATTTTAGTTATATATATAATTAAGTTTATTTTATTTAAGTTAAAAAATTAGTGTTTTTTAATTTCATTATATTAAACTAAATTAAAACATTTTTTAAACTAAACTTAAAGTAAACTTTAAAACAAAACTTTTAAACTATATTTTAAATAAACTTTTTAAAGAAGCTTTAGTTGAGAGAGCTTTAGTTGAGAGAGCTTTAGTTTTATTCTATGGTTCTATAATAATAATCAATTATATATTATATATATAGTATATAAAATAATCTATTTAACTATATATATAATAATCTATTTAAAAATAAAATACAAAATGTGTTTAAAAAATTACAGTTAAAACTTGTTTAAATATGGAATATTATAAAGCTTATTTTTGAATGTATAACTACATGCTATGTTGACTAAGGTTTAGGGTTAAAATGTCAAGTATAACTACATACTATGTCGACTAAGATTTAGGATTAAAATGTAAAGTATAACTACATGTTATGTCAACTAAGGTTTAGGCAGCAATCAGTTATTACATTATTATTCATTTTTTCTTCTTTTTCTTAAAATTAAAGTGCACATTCAAGTATAAACACACTTTACTACATACTCGTGTCCAGCCGGCTGAATAAAATGCAAATTTTGCAAATGTAGACTAAGGGTTTAGTTTTCATGTGCAATTTAATCTTCAAAATATTTATAATTATGGGTTAAACACAATTCAGCTTTAATCCTTAACTGCTCATTAACTACTTAACAATTTTTTTTTATTTTTTTGCACTCAGAAGGTAATGTGTTACTGTTTGATTTTAATGGAAATATGTATTGGTTAACATTGTGATAATAATAGGTATTGGTTATCTAATCGTTGTTATCATTGTTATCTAATTAAAATAAGTAAACAAAAATTAAATCAAAAAAAATAAAATTAAAAAACTTTTTTTAAACTCTTTAAAATCCTTTGTCACAAGTTTTTAAAATTCATTGTTACAACATTTTAAAATTGACTAGCGTTTTATGATCCTCAGTTGGACTTATTTTGCAACAATATAAACAGACTATTAAAAGAGAAACAGAATACAATAAAAAAAAAGGAGTTAAAGGTAAGTATAAAGCCAAATCTATTATTTGCTTCATAAAAGCAAAACTATGTCAGTTCCAGAGAGATCTGACGAAAAAATTTAAATACAAGTTTTGATAGGAAATAAGTTTTGATAGGAAATAAGTTTTGATAGGAAATAAGTTTTGATAGGAAATAAGTTTTGATAGGAAATAAGTTTTGATAGGAAAAGTACTTAGATCTCAAGAATATAAAGTATATAAAAAAAAAAAAAACTTTGAAATGATTGATAGAGAAATTAAAGCAATTTGTTATTCAAAAAAGCTATATAAAAGCTATATAAACTGAAATAACTTGCGTATAATTGAAGACAATCAAACCTGTTGCAAAAAAGACTCTTTGCAATTGCCATGTCAACATTATTTTTAGGTAGACAAAAAATTCATATATATTCAAACTGAGAAATATACTCCGTATTGCTTATGTGGCAAGCAATTATGCGGTAGTGGTGTAGTGGTAAGAGCGCTCGCTTTGTAAGCAAGAGGTTCGGAGTTCGACTCCCACCACATCTCTGGAAGTACCACGCTCAACTTAATTTCTTTGCGCAAAAAAAAAAGTAGCCTCCTCGAGCCTTGGGGAGGTGAATAAAAAAAAAATAAAAAAAATTTGCTCTTGTAGTTTGAAAAACACAAGATTATAGTTTTAATTTAAACTCAATTTAAACTCAATTTGTTTTGATTTAAACTTTTTGATACTTGTTTATTTACTCTTGAAACTTTAAAAAATTGTTAACATAGTTGGACTTGCTCTTGCAGCTAACCTCCGACCATTATCACATCATCGTAATATTGCTTCTCTTTCTCTTTTATATAAATACTATAATGGGTACTGCCATCTACTAAAATTCTTTCTTGTGTTACTCGTTATTCGATTAAGTTTCTTTTACTGTGACTGCTTCTAAAAGCTCCAAAAATTCTTATTTAGTTTTTTCCTCGAACAAAAAAAATTCTTATTCATTTAGTTTTTTCCTCGAACATCAGTCCTTTAGAATTCGCTTCCTTTATCTTGTTTCCCTAATTTATATCATTTGCAATTTCCTAAGTTGTTTGTTAATCATTATCGGTATTAAAACACACACTATACATTACTCTTAAAACTTTAAAAAACTTTACATAACATAAAATACAATATATTGGCATGATTTGGTTACAATCCAATACTCCAAGAAGTCTCTAGAATGGCATGAACAAAATATATGCCAAAGGAAGCAAATGCTGTGAATCCTGAACAGCTGATTATTGAAAGTTATTAATTAATTATAGAAGTAATCTTATTGAAAAGCAAGAAATTAGCCTTAGGTAAAAAAGATAAATAAGAAAATAATTATATGGATATATGCAAAAAAGGTAACTCAAAGCAAGATCCTGCAGATGATGTCAAGAACGTATAAAAATATCTAGCTTCTTTCTAAGCATTAATAAAAAATGTAAAAAGTTAATAAATAAATTAATTAATTGGCTTTATTGTTTCAAAAAATTACAAAAATATGTTAAGTAGTTTTTAAGTAAAAATAAAATTTCATTGTGTTCAACCTTTCACTATGTCAATCAGGGTTTCACTATGTCAATCAGAAACACAAGAATGTTTAAAGTTACAGAAAATAAAAGTTTTCACTGTAAATAAGATTTGTTTTTTTTTCAGACATTATTAAGATTTGTTTTTTTCAGACATTATAAAATGATACCTTTGCATTTTTGTCAATAAAACCATTAGCTGACATATAGACAATCATCTCTCTGTAATGGTATCGAATTGCCAAAAAATATGCAGGTATTCCTATAATATATATATTTTTATATATTTTATTTTGAAAGATAATTATAAATATACTCTAAATTATGAAAACTAATCTAGGATTTTAAAGAAATACCTTCATAATTAGGACTATTAACTAGCTCTTTAATTTTTTCAATTTGACTTGTTTTTTGACCAAAAAATAAAATGATTCTAAGAGCTTCAGTGTTTTGGGTTATTGCAATAAGATGAAAAATATTATGTCCTTTACTATCTTTTACAGATAAATCTGCACCTGCACAAATTAAAGCAGGAAGGATATCATGCTGATTTAAAGCCAAATGTAATGCACTCTATAAAAAAAACATTTGCATTTAATAAGTGTATACCTATTGTTTTTTAAATTATATTAAATTTTTTTTAAATTAAAGAGCACAAAATATTTTAGGAGATTGTATCCTTAAATGTATATTATCTAATTTATATATAAGCACATACACATACCCACATTTACTTTTGCAGGTTTAGGTCAGTACTTTCTTAACAATTTTACAAAAATTATTTTTGACTGAATTTAAACCAAAAATTAAAAAAAAAAAGTATAAAAATAATTTTTTTTTTCTAAAATAAATTTTTATGCTTATGCAGACTGCTCAAACAAACAGAAAATCTCAGTCACTAGAATACAACAGGCTATATATCAGGCAGAAATAATGAAATACGTCATTAAAAATGTGTAAACATAAACAAAACTAAAATTTTCAAGCTGTTTATTCATTTTTTTCTGCATTAAGTTAAAGTTTTTCAAGCTAAAAATTTAAATGTTTTTTTTTAAAACTTAAACTCAAAAATATCTAAAGAAATTTTTTGTCTAAACCCAAATATATTGCAATTATGTTTTTTAAAACTTATTTACATACTATCATCTAATTATACAGCTTTTATGTAAAACTACCTATTTTTGCAGTACATAAACATGTCTAAAAAATTAAAAAATTATTATTGTTTCATTTTATATAAAAAACAAGGGAAAATGTTTTACACCAACATTCTTTTCAAGAATTCGTTAATTATAATTCATTCTAGTCTATGTTTCATAAAGAATTATATGTAAAAAAAATTAACTAAAATAAGATAGAATTGAGAAAAAATGCAACTTTCAAATTTTTCACATTATAGTTTTATAGTCTAATAAAGGTATTCCCACTTGAAGCAATTAATTTTTCTAAAAAAATTGAAAATCGCTGGTGTCTATTGAGCAGTCTACATAAGCATAAAAATTTACACACAGAGCGCAAGGAGAGAGGGAGGGCTTTACACAACCAATGTTTTGTTAAGTATAAGCTACCCTGTAATTTTTTTAATCACCTAAAACAACACTCAGACATGTTATTTTGAAATTACTGAAAATCAATATAAAATTATAAAAACAAGCATACTCACAGATTTTCTCTTGTTTCTTATATCAAGATTTTGTTTACTTCCAAAATGAAAATTTAGATTTATTAAATTTTTGGCTTCTTGGATGTTTTTTTGTCGAATTTGAATGATCAAGTACCTGAAATCAAATATTTAATTTTCAAATTTTGAAAACTTTAGCCAAGGTAATAAAAAAAAAAGTTTATAAATAAAACTATTTTGTTTATCAATATAAATATCATTATTTAAATTAAACATTTCTACAAGGTTTCTAAATATACTTACGTATCTCCATCTTCATCTGGTACAAAGGCTTCTTTAAGAAAATTTCGCCATTTATTGAATAATTCTTCATCCTTAACACTTTCTGGAGCAGCATCTTTACCCTCAGTATTATCAATTTCTATTGAATCACAAGTTAAACTTACGAAACCCGAGTCTTCGTTTTTCATATCATCTACCTTTGAGGTTTGATAAGCCATTTACAAAATTTATCTAATATTAATGTTATCTTTGAACGTTAAGATTTCTATATGTAATAATTACCTTTAAATTTCGACACAACACTGTTCGTAAGATATTACTAATCGACTCTAAAATTTCTTATTAAATTTCCCTTAAAAAATAACGGGACTTTTTCAACACGTGATTTAAACATTCATCGATATTCGTCAATATTTGTCACGTGGTTTCCAAAGTGTTTACCAATAATATATTTTTTTTACGAATATATAGTGTTGTGACCGAAACTAACTAATCAAACCGTAACTCAAGTTAGTTGTCTAACATTTTAGCTTAACTAAATTTAGTCGAGTAACTTTTTAGTCTAACTAAAATTAGATGACTAAATTCTTATTCTAACCAAAATTTGTCGACAATTTAGCGTAATTAACTTTAGTCAATAACCTTTTTAATTTAAATAAAATCGGTCAACTAAACTTTTGATCTAACTAAGTTGAGTCGACTAAATTTTTAGTTTGTTAAAAGTATATTATGACTGTTGCCCATAAATAATTATATAAATCTAGTCTAATGCGTTACTTTTAAAGTGGTTTGATCGCCTTGTTTTTACTTACAAATAGTAGCCGCAGCGCAGGAGTTTCACGGTTCACTTTTCAGAGTTTTTATGTTTTCGGCCCATAAGCAGACTTTTTTTAGGAGGGTGACAAACTTTTTACTACGGCCCACTGTTTTTTTAAAAAGTCATTTTTTAAAAATATTATAATTAAACACAAAATTTTCCCGCAATTTTTAATATAATGTACTAATTGTAACTAATGAAAAATGAATAAACAACAAACATTTGGTCTCTATGATAAGTATTCAATTAATTACAACAAATGTTATTCGTTTAAAAGAAAGAAAAATTCTAATCTTCTTTGCAAATATTTAAACGGCCACATCTAAATCAAAGTTAAAATCATAGTGGATGTTTAAAACTCAGAAACCTGTCCTTGTGTTGCTCTTGTGTACGAATGAAGGCGTCGAATTACACTTTCTATTCTATAACATACTGCCGTAGTGACTAGAAGAACACATCCAAGTGAAAAAACAATGTAAATATTAGGAAATTTATCTGGCTTTCATTTCTTTAAGAACCTTAGCAGCACGCTTAAAAGTATATATAATATCACTCGATTTTTCCTCCAACTCAACTACACGCTCACAAAGAAATCACTTCGCTGTAGTGTAACAAATGATATAATAAAATCAAAACTCCCAAATGCTTTCAGAAATGGCAATGCTTGACGTTTGCATTTAGCAGTCCTCTCATGCAGCCTCGTATTTTTTATCGGTTCTTTGAAACGACTTCGCAAAATATTAACAGAAATAAATAAGCGAAAATAAAATTTTACAAATCTGGCATGATTTTTGAGCGTTCTTCGACTATTTTAATGTTGTTTTGTTAATGATCACTGATTGCCAGTGCCGTGGCACATCGACCATTTAAACGCGAATGGTCGAAGCAATAAAATTTATTTGCCATTTTTGCAAATTATTGTGTTTTTATAGTTGGCGGAAGTAAGAATTTTAAAAAGGCTTAAGGCCGCTTTTAATGAAAAAAAAAAACAAACCATAAACCATAACGCGGTCGTTCAGACTTACTTTAATAAGTGAAAAGTTATTATACGCAAGCGCAGAAAAATTTGCGTAATTCCAGAGTTTTGAAAATGGCTACGGATACCGTATATAAAATTTTCATTGACAAGAGACATTTTTCTAATTTTTGGCCATAAAATACCCATTTATCCATTCATTAAACAGAAATTATTACAAAAGGGACTTCCAGTGCATAATACAATGATTCAAACAAAAACAAAAAAACCCTCTCAAGTTAAATTTTTTTTTTTTTTTTTTTTTTTTTTTTTTTTTCCTGTTTACATTTGCCGTAAATAAAATACTATATTTTACAAGAACAAAGAAAACAAGGCTTCTGAAAGAAGATCTACTGATCTTATCGTCAGAACCTTTACAATTTTATCATACTATAAAAACTGAAAATATAAATCCAAAAACGGCCGTAATAATAAATATATAATAATAAATTCATAATATTAATCACGTATCTGTAATGGTAATTCTCACAAATCTGTTATAATAATCCATAATAATAAATTTTATAGATCTGATATAAATTAAAGAAAATAAATTTATTAATATAAATATTATTATAAATCTCATAAATCAAGTTTATACTTCAAGCTAATAGTAACTTAAAATGTCATCCATAGCAAGAATGAATTTTTTCAATTCATTTTTAAATACAGAAAAACGGATAAAAAGATCAAAATTAGGCAGAACTATTTTATTCCAAAGGTAAGGTGCTCTATAATTAATACAAAATTTATTAAAATTTGTTCTACAAAATGGTTCATTTAGCAAATCTTTATTTCTTAGTAAGTACTTATTTGTAAGTTTAAATGTAAAAAGGTCGTTAAAAACAGGTAGGGATAAATTGTTTTTCCATATATAAGTAAAACATAAAACATTGAAAACATTAAGTTTGTAGACATTAAGTATTTTCATTTTATCAAAGAAAGGCTTTGAATGTGTAGAGCGATCCACATAATTAATCACGCGAATCGGATGTTTCTGTTGGCAATATAGACGTTGTAGTTTACTTTTTTCGGTACTACCCCATGCAATATTTGCGTAGTTTATATAGCTGTGTATGAATGAGTAATAGAGCTGCGTAAGGCTTTTTTTGCTTAAGTAAGGTCGGGCTTTATACAAAATGCCAATATTTTTAGATACCTTGGTGGTTACATGATTAATATGGTTATTCCAAGTAATATTCTCATCAAGATAAACACCTATGAATCTTATAACAGAATCTCTTTTTATTAGAGTTTCGTCAATATAAATTTGAGGCATAATATCTGGTAAAGAACGTTTTTTTGAGAAGGAATGAAAAAGAATCCATTTAGTCTTGTTAGTCTTTAACGTTAATTTATTACATTTAAACCATTTAGAAATGTTTATAAGTTCATTATTAGTTTTTGAGAAAAGTTTGTAAACATCAGTGTGGGATTGAAATAAGTTAGTGTCATCGGCATAAATAATACTCATCAGGTTAGAGGCTTTGTTTAGATCATTGACATATATAAGAAATAGCAGCGGTCCAAGAATAGAACCTTGTGGAACACCACAGGTTATATTTAAGGATCCACTTTGAACGTCATTATTACTATAGACTACTTGCTTACGATTTGTAAAATGTAATATTGTTTAAATCCTTTTAAAGAAACCTTTGAGCGTAGAAATGTATTCTTTTTTGATTTTTCTGAACTTTTTAACTTTTTTATAATATATACTGATATTAGTATTCAATTTTTTTTGAAGATTAAAAGATATTTTTTCCGAATTAACTTTAGAGTAACTCTAAAGCCACAATTCATAAGTACATTGATGTGAAATATGTGATACGAATGCATATGTATATATATATATATATATATATATATATATATATATATATATATATATATATATATATATATATATATATATATATATATATATATATATATATATATATATATATATGCAAGGTCGTCGAAAGGGAGGGGCAAAGGGGGCAAATTGGTCTGAACGCTAAGATAGAAAGGGCGCCGGACGACCCTTTTTTTTTTTTTTTTTTACAATAAATAAAACATTTATTGTAAAAAAAAAAAAAAATTATCACATTGTCAGTCATTAAACATAATATTTAATGACTGACAATGTGAAATCTGCTTTTTTCTAATTGAAGTTAAAACTTTAGTATTTTGATTAAAAATACACATGAAAAAATTTAAATTTTAAATTCCATTATTATAATTATTTATAAACTATTTTTTACGAAAAAAAAGTACGATTTAGTTGTAGTTAAGTTAGGCGGAGCCGGGGTATTCAAAATGCCCATGCACAGCTAGCTAGACTTTTTCGTGTTCAATTGCACGGAAGATGATGCTCTTTTGTAATTATAATGGAAGCTGATGAAATTTTGCTTTAAAGCAGTCGATACTTATAGCACTGACAATTTTGTAGGTGGTACGTTCCATGGGTGAGCAACGCGGTCAAATAAACAAACTTTGGAGGATGAGGGATTTATAGCCATTGCACAGACCAACGAAAAAAACCTCTCTTCCAAACACTTAATTAAGCCCACCAGTAAGTCTATGAGAGCTAATAGGAAACAATGAGCTTTTCTTCTCTTTCAAGATCACCTGCTGCACACAATATGTGTGATTGCAAGGACTGTGGATTTGTAGGGACCTTAAACAATTTACCTTTCAAAGTGACCCATCAGAGTCAGAAGGAGGAACTTTATTCAACAGAAGAAAATGTGATGCTCAACCTTATTTGATATTAAATAATGATGACCCCTCTTTGTGGCCTGTTGCTTTGAGTCAGAAAGATCAAAATGTAATCATTTTAAAAGGACTTGCCTCGCATTTTTTGATACAACAAGATTATCCCCGTGGTTTTAATAAGAGAATCTTTACTTTGAATGTGTTTTATCAACAAAATTAACTTTAGCAAAAGTTTTTTTTATTTTTTAGCGCAAGTCCTGCCCGATAAGAGATCCTTATTGAAGCAACAGAAATTTCACTGCATAGACTTTCTATGACAAGATAGAGCTCTCGGACCGTCGCGAACAAACCACTTGCAAAGAGGCCAAGAGAAATGTTAGCAACTCTTAAACATGCCATGGTCTGGTCTGAATGTTTTTCTTAATTAGTCTGGATGTTTTTCTTGATTAAAAATGGCGTCGATTTATTATAGTAAGTAAAAAAGCGTCTAGTGAACCTCTCTAATGCAAACTTGGAGCATTGAATATATACAAAATTAACATACATCTTGTTTTACAGTTTATGTACAAAATAAAAAATGGACTATCTCCGCCAATATTTCAACCCTATTTTTTTTTTTTTTTTTTTTTTTTTTTTTTATTTTTAATTTATTGGTCGTATTACAACTATATACTGCCAAAAAAAAAATAAAAAAATAATGATAATAATAATAAACTTTCACAAATATAAAATAAGGTATCTGAAAGAAGATCAAAGGATCTTGTCGTCAGAACCTTAAATAAGTTCAAACAAGCATTAACAGTATCA